CTTAGCTCAGTGCTCAGAACAGAGTAATAACGATAATAGTTAACATTTATATAGAAATTACTATTTGTGAGGTCCCATGTTAAGTCATTTACAAATTTCTCATTTGATCCTCAGTACAACCCTGGGGGCAGCTAGGTGGCACAGTGGATAGAGCACTAGTCATGGAGCCAGGAGGACCTGAGTTCAAATCCGGCCTCAGACACATAATATTTCCTAGCTCTGTGACTCTGGGCAAGTCACTTAGCCCCAATTGCCTCATTTAAAAAAAAAAGAAGAAGAAGAAAAAAAAGGACAATCATGGGACATAGGGGCTATTATTCTTTCCTTTTTAAACATGGGAGAACCATGGTAATCAGAGGTAAGTGACTCATCTAGGGTCACGCAGTGAGGAAATCTCTGAGGCCAGATTGAACTCATGTCTTCCTGACCTCAGGTACTAGACTATTCCCACTAGACCACATAGCTTCTACAAGTCTTATCATTTTAACGTGGTAATAATAATGGTATCTAACATTTATAGACAGGTAGGCACTCAGCTCAGCCCTGTACAAATATTTCATTTGATCCTCATAGCCCTGGTCCTGAATGCAAGTCTTCCTGACTCCATGCCCTGCACCCTAGCCTATGTCCCTCATAGCTTCTATAAAACACATCACTTAGCACGGTTCTTGGAGCACAGGGATAATAAACAAGTTAACATTTAGATAGAATATACTATGTGCCAATCACTGTGCTAAGGACAGTGTATGTCCCCTTTAGTCTTTTCAACAACTCTGGGAAGTAGGTGCTTTTTTTATCCCATTGTACAGATGGGGAAACTAAGGCAGACAGATTAAGGAACTTGCCCAGGTTCACATGGCCACAAAAAGTGTAAGGAAGATTTTGAATCTCCTCTAGCTGACTCCAAGGCCTGCACTCTAGCCATGTCACCACAAGTCTTCTATCATCACTCATTACAGGGCTTGGAACCTGAGAAGAGGAATAGCTAAGATTTCTGTAATACTGACTATGGGCCACGTACTGTGCTAAGAGCCTTCCAAATATTGCTTTTGACCCTCACAACAACCCTGGGAAGTAGGTGCTATTATTATCCCTATTTAAAAGATGAGAATGTATTATCAGAGGATAAGGGACTTGTTCAGGGTCAATCAGCTAAGGAATGTCTGAGCCCAGATTTGATTCCAGGTCTTCCTGACTCCACATTCTGCCACCTATCCACAGCACCACATATGATAAACCCCAACACTTAGAACAGTTTGGAATATAATACTATCTATCTATCTATCTATCTATCTATCTGCAGGTAGGTGGCACAGTGGATAATCGGGTGCTAGACCTAAAGTCAGGAAGACTCCTCTTCCTGAGCGCAAATTTGGCCTCAGATAGTTTCTAGCTGTGTGACCCTGGGCAAGTCACTTAACCCTGTTTGCCTCAGTTTCCCATCTGTAAAATGAGCTGGAGAAGGAAATGGCAAACCACTCCAGTATCTTTGCCCAGAAACCCCCAAATGGGGTCATAGAGAATTGGACATGACTGAAAACAACTAAACAACAACATAATATATATGTAAAGATAGATATAAAGATATATACTCTATATATATCACACATATATAATAGCTAACATTTCTATTGTCCTTATTACGTGTCAGATATTGTGCGATGTGCTTTACAAATACCTCCCTCGAGCCTTAAAACAACCATGTGAACCAGGTGCTAATAGTATCCCCATTTTAATGCTGGGGAAAACTGAGGCAGGTTAAATTACTTGCTATGGTCATACGGCCACTAAATGTCCGCAAAGGTTTTGAAATCAGGTCCTTCTGACTCCAGGTACGTCGCTGTAGCCACTGCACCACCTGGCGGACCAGCTCAAACCATAGACAAAGCAGCTTTGTCCCATCTTCCCAGCCCCAGGAATCCCCCTCCCTTCCTTCTTGGGGTTCTGCCTCAACTCAGGTGCAGCCTGGGGAGAGACCTGCTCGCCTCCCCAAAAGCTAGCGCAGCCTAGGACCCAAATCACGCGGGGCTTGGATTCTCAGCTTTTCCCATTAGCTCAGTGGGATAACTGAATGTGGGTGTTGCTAGTAGCTAGAGGTCGCTGCGAGCCCAAAGAAAGACGCCGCCGGGATGAGTCTGTCGCTGCAGTGTAGAGTGGCGGTTGCCCTGTCCTGTGCACTCCCCTGCAGAGATGGGTTTTTCTGTTGAATTAGCAGTTGGAGTGGGGTGTTGGGGGAAGAAAACAAAAGAAACTGGAAAAAATAGAATGTGGGTGGACCGGGGGAGTCAGGGCGTTAGGGAGGTGACCGTGCAAGACGGGCAAGGTACCAGGTGGGGTGAGATGGGAGCATGGACGCCCACCTGATAACTCCAGATCAGATGGACGCAGTGTGCGGTGGGGGGGGGGGGGTGCAACGGGGAGGGGACAGACCTGGTGACTCCGCTTAGCCTTAGGGCTAGGAACGGGGCACAAGGACGCCCCCACGCTCCCCACTCAAGGGCGACGGGATCACCCTTCTAAGAACTACAGCGGGAATGACGCGGGCGGGGGATGTCGGAGGAAGGGCGGACGCTCACCCTACAGATAGCTGGACTTCCAAAATCCGTGCAGCTTTTTAATAATGTCAATCCCAAAAGTTAGAATACAATACCAATTCCCTAATTATCATAGTATTTTATCTTAATTTAAAATTCATGAAAGGCTTCTTTTTGATCTCCAAAATGTTTTCATATTCACTCCAACAGAGTAAAAGGAAGAAAGAGAAGCCAACTTAGCATGTTGTTGTTCAGTCTTTTCAGACTCTCCTTGATCCCATTTGGGGCTTTTCTTGGCAAAAATACTAGAGTGGTTTGCCTTTCCTTCTCCAGCTTATTTTTACAGATGAGGAAACTAAGGCAAACAGGGTTAACCGACTTGCCCGGAGTCACCCCGCTAGTAAGTGTCTGAGGCCAGATTTTAACTCAGAAAGATGACTCTTCCTGACTCCAGGCCCGGCACTCAATTTAAGCACCGCACCATATAGCTGCTTGGAGGAGCTACTGCCATTAGATGGCGCCTTCTGCCTTCTGCTTTCTGCTGACCACGAGAATACTAGCTTCTTACAATGCCAAAGCTGGACAGGACCTTAAGAGTTCCCTTAGTCCAATCTCCTCATTTGCAGAGAAGGAAAGTGAGCCCCAGTGAGGGTGAAGGACTTGTCTAAGGTCTTACAGCTAGTTAGCACCAGAGCTAGAACTCCTGATTTCAGGCCAGTACTCTTTCCACTCCATAAACCAAAGTAACCAGAGGATGTGTCTTTGTCCAGGGTCACACAAAGGAAATGTCAAGAAGCCACCTTTGAACTTAAGTCTTCCTCACTCCAAACCTAGCACTCCAACCACTGCAGGTCAAAGCTGATATAGGGGGTAGCTAGGTGGTGCAATGAATAGAGCACCTGCCCTGGAGTCAGGAGGACTTGAGTTCAAATGCAGACTCAGACACATAATACTTCCTAGCTGTGTGACCCTGGGCAAGTCACTTAACCCCAGTTGCCTCACTTTTTAAAAAAAGCTGCTATAAACCCCAACACTTAGTACAGTGCTTGGAACATAGTCACTATAATTACAGCTACCAGTTATGTAGCACTTACTAGGTGCCAGGCACTGGGCTAAGGCTTTACAATTATTTTCTTATTTAATCCTCACAAAAAAACCCTAGGAAGTAGGTGCTAATATTAAATTTATTTTACAGGTGAGGTTAAACTAAGGTTTTAACAGAGGACAAGGGACACATCTAGGGTCACCTACTAGTAAATGTCTCAGGCTACATTTGAATTCAAATATTCCTTATCTAGAATTGGTTGGGGAAGGACTTCTCTTTAAGCTAATGTAAGAGATGGCCTTTTGACAGAGAAGGGAATAGTACAAATTAATATTAACAACCAAATGATACAGTATTAAAATAACTTTTCCTCACTTTGAAATAAAACTGTTCATTCTATTTCTATTTTCTTTGTCCTGTGGATAACAAAGTAATGCACTGGGTTATAATTGATGCAGCTCAGTCCTTTGACATATTTTTAAATTCCGTGACATGAGTAGGAAAGACCATGAAAGAGGGGAGGAACCAACTTCAGAGGGGAGGATGGACCTGACATTAGAGGTCTGAGTTCTGATTACTGCTTCTACTACTGTATGAAACGGTGATCTTGGGTACTAGTGTGACATTGAATAAGTCACTGAACCTAACTGAGCTGTACTTTCCTCCTTAGTTTGTTTATCTTTAAGTAATCTTTTGGCCTCCCAGGAATATTGAAAACAAAGCCCCTATATAACTTCTTCTTGTTAACTCTTCCTGGCCCCATTTGGGGATTTTTGGCAAAGACATAGAAGTGGTTTGTCGTTTCCTTCTCCAGCTCATTTTACAGATGAGGAAATTGTGGCAAACAGGGTTGAGTGACTTGCCCAGGGTCACACAGCTAGTAAGTGTCTGAGGCGGAATTTGGACTCAGGAAGATGATTCAGCTTGATTCTCAGTCTAGCGTTCTATCCACTGAATAACCTCTTAGTGTTACAGAAATCTGTTACTATTTCCTGATTAATGTCTAAGCAATTAAGTTAAGCTTAGTAGAAGAGAACATAAACAAAAATACAAGAAGCACCTGGGGAGAAAAATCATAAAATTTAAAGAGTGATATAAATTTTAAAAAGAAAAGGCTGGTGACTGAATAGCAGTGGGATATAGGGTGACTTCAGGTGAAGTTTGTGTGGGTTGTGGTGGGTAATTGGATTTTATTAATATTTGGAAGATAGACTGAATTTTACTGAGAGTTAAGTTAAGGAAGAGAATTTTTTAAGTCTTTATTCTGTTCCGATAAAACAAATGGCAACTGAACAGTCCACCTTGTACACAGCTACCAAAATCACTTTACTACTTCATTTCCACAAGCAGTCCCAGATGCCTGAAACATCCTCCCACTCATCTCCTACTGAAAACCTTTTCCTCTGAACCCCAACTCTCACCTGGGTCAGGACATTCTCTGAATGTCAAGGAATCCTCTTTCCTTCCATTTTGCAGGAAGCAGAGTTTGCAGGGATTTCCAGCTTTCTCTCACTCTGATAGAATTTGAACCGAAAATAGAAGCAAAGTCACTCCAGTCTCTTTTTATTACTTCCCATCTTTCCTTCCCTGTAATCTTCTGGGATGTTGCGACATAGGATATTTAGAGCTGTCAGAACCTTAATGAGCACCTGGTTTAAATTCATCTTTTAACAGAAGTAGAAGAGAAGAGTTCAGGCTCTGTGGAGGAAACATTTGTGGTCTGTTGGTTTTGCTTTTATATCACAGGGCTCTGTACGGTTTACGAGTTTTGTTAGTTGAATCACTTTCAGTTCCACTTTTATATTACAGGGCTCTGCATGGAATAAGAGCATAGAAAGATTTGGTTGAGTCTGGCTTCTAGCTTTTAGTGGCCACTCGCACACCACCTCCACTGACAGTAGTTCTCATGCAAGCCCTCTTGGGAATGGCACGCGTGAGTTTCATAGTTTATTATTGCAGTGCAATGATTAATAGAAAGAAAAAAAGGAAGGAAAGATGGAAAGACAAAAGAAAGAGAGAAAAGTAAAGAAAAAGAAATAAAAAAGAAGAAAGGAAGAAAGAAAAAGAAACTGTTGAATTGAATCATTTACAGAGATGCATTAAGTATCAGAATTAGGACCAGACTTTCACCCTGATACCTTCTAATGCTCTTTGGATTTTCTCCATCTCGTCAATTCATTCACCCCTAGCTTTGGCCTCCCTAATGGCCTTGGTCTAGTCATTTCCCTGGGAGAGCCTTTCACCATGTTCCCTTTGATCTAAATACATCTCAATAAGAAGGCTTTAAAGAAGTCCTCTTTTCTACTATGACAAGCTAATGGGCTCAAAGGTCTAGAGGCCTTAAAGGTTTTATAATCTAACTTCCTCTTTTTACAGATGAGGAAACTGAGGCTCAGAGAGGCCCAAGTGACTATCCTAAGGCCAAACAGGTACAAATTGGTTAAGTGATTTAATATAAAAGATCATATTTTGTTTTAAAATTAGAGAACAAAAGGCATTCTCTGACAGATAAGGAGAATTCATAATCATAGAAGTGATAGAGGCAATCACAAAATATAAAATACATAATTTTGTGAATATAAAATGTAAAAGCTTTCATAAGAGCAACATGTAACAGGAATAAGAAGAGAAGCTATTAGCCTGAGGAAGTCTTTATATAAAATATCTCAGATTAAAGTCTAATACTCAAAAATATTTAGGAAATTGACAATTATATAAGGCTAAGAGTAGTTCTCTAGCAGAGAAGTTGTCAGAGAATATGAGTAAACAGTTTTCAAAAGAATTACCATCAAAAACCTTATAAAATGCTCTGAATCACACATTAAAAGTAATGTAAATTAAAATGACTCTGAAGTTGCACCTTACATCCATCCATTTGGCATATTGTTTCTCTCAAAAATGTAAGTTCCCTGAGGGCAGGAACTGTTTTTTAAATTTTTTTAAATTAATGAGCATCTATTTTTCTCTCCCTGCCATTTCCCCTACACCACTGGAAAAGAGAAGAGAGGAGAAGGGAAGAGAAATGAAACTTTTGAAACAAAAACACATAATCAAGCTTATTGCCCAAAAATGTGTGTCTTATTCTGCATATTTAGTCCATCACTTCCACGTCAGGTGGTGAATAGCCTTTTTTTTAAAAATCATTCCTCTGGAATTATGATCACTGTGCTGACCAGAGTCTTTTAAGTCTTTCATATTTGTTCATTTCTTGACATGTTGTTGTTATAGCATAAGTTCTCCTGGTTCTGCTCATTTCCACATTAGTTCACACAAATCTTTCCAGGTTTCTCTGAAACTGTCCTTTTTAACTTTTTTTTTTTTGCTTTTTGATGATGCAATTAGGGTTAAGCGACTTGCCCAGGGTCACACAGGTAGTGTCAAGTGTCTGAAGCTGGATTTGAACTAAGGGCCTCCTGACTCCAGTTCTATCCACTGTGCCACCCAGGTGCCCCCTTTTTATACTTTCTTACAGCATGATAGGGGTGAAGGGGGTTCAGAGAAGACTAGTACCTCAGGTGTGAGGGCTATTGAACTCTTTTCAGGGCTGCTCATCCACCTTTGGTGTCCACCTGATTCACCCAACTCTCACCTGTGCCTCCAAGAGGCTGTAGCATACATAGTGGCCACACCTGGGTAAACCATTTTGGCAGATAGACTAAATCAGGTTGAGGGTAACCAAGGGGTGTCAAACCCATCAATGAGTTATGGGGGTGTCTACCCCAAGCATGTGAACACTTCCACCTGTGGCAAGTGAGAACAATTTATTCCAGTGGCCATGTAGGTGGCTGAAGCAGGTGCTATGGAGTGCTTAGAGTTTGGTTAGAAATCAAAGACACCAAAGTTGTCCACATCCCAGTAGGAGACAATGAGCTGGTTTGGTTCATTCCATAAAAGATGATTAACTAGAATTTTTAGAGTTCTCTATTGCTCTGTAAGTTTCTGTGGGGTCCTGATGGGCACACCTCTCCCAAGAGGTCCCACTCCTCCTAGTGGAGAGAATTCCCCTACAGTTATGAGGGAGGACTTTTGTTGGGGGATGAAGGCTAGGAAAGATGTGGGGAAAAGGTATAAAGGATGCAAAAAAGAAGAAGAAAACACATTTTTTAAAATTATCATTATGGTGTTGGCCAAGGTAGGAAATGGTAGGTAGTGGTAAAGGGAGATACATGCTTAGGAAGTGGTTAACATTAGAAGAAGCAGGCTGATCAATTGACAGCAAAAATTGTGTTGTATGCACTGTTGGTGGAGTTGTGAAATGATCCATCCATTTTGGAGAGCAATTTGGAACTATGCCCAAAGGGCTATAAAAATGTGCATACCCTTTGACCCAGCAATAGCACTTCTAGGACTATATCCCAAAGAGATCATACAAATGGGAAAAGGACCCACAAGTACAAAAATATTTATAGCAGCTCTTTTTGTGGTGGCAAAGAATTGGAAATTGAGGGGATGCCCATCAATTGGGGAATGGCTGAATAAGTTATGGTATGTGAATGTGATGGAATACTATTATGCTATAAGAAATGATGAGCAAGCAAACTTCAGAAAAACCTGGAAAGACTTGTATAGACTGATGCTGAGTGAAGTGAGCAGAACCAGGCAAACATTGTACACAGTAACAGCCACATTGTGTGATGACTGATCTTGATAGACTTAGCTCTTCTCAGCAATGCAAAGATCTAAGACATCTCCAGGTCTCATGATGGAAAATGCTATCCACATCCAGAGAAAGAACTATGGAGTTTGAATGCAGATCGAAGCATACTGTTTGCTCTTTTTTTTCTTCTGTTGAGTTTTGTTTCCTCTTTCTGGTGGTTCCTCCTATTGGTTCTAATTCTTACTTACATCACTAATGTGAAAATATGTTTAATAGGAATGTATATGTACGCCATCTTGGGGAGGGAGGTGGGGAGGGAGAGGGAGAAAATTTAAAATTCAAAAGTTTATGGAAGTGATTGTTGAAAACTAAAAATAAATTAATAAAATTGAATTTAAAAAAAAAGAATGAAGTACAACCACCAACCAACCACTATTAATACAAACTAAGTTCTTATTTTTAAAAATTGTTTTGTAAAAAAATAATGATGAGCAGGTGGATTTCAAAAAAACCTGGAAAGACTTACATGAACTAATGCTGAATCAAGTAAGCAGAATCAGGAGAACACTGTACACAGTAACAGCAACATTGTGTGATGATTCAATTTTGATAGACTTAGCTCTTCCCAGTAATAAAATGATCTTAGACAATTCCAAAAGACTCATGACGGAAAATGCTATCCATATCCAGAGAAAGAATTATGGAGTCTGAAAGCAGATCAAAGCATATTATTTTCACTTTTTTTTGTTTTTTCTTTCTTGTGTTTTTTCCCTTTTGTTCTGATTCTTCTTTCACAACATGACTAATGTGGTAATGTTTACTATGATTATCCATGTATAACCTATATCAGATTGGTGCCATCTTAGGGAGGGGGAGAGAAGAAAGGGAGAGAGAAAAAAAATTGGAACTCAAAATCTTATAAAAATGAATGTTGAAAACTATCTTTACATGTAAATAGAAAAAAAATACTATTAAGTGGGAAAAAATAAAATAAAATGGGCTGACTGAAAAAAAAAGAAAATGCTATCCACATCCAGATAAAGAATTTATGTACTCTGAATGCACATCAAAGCATCCTTTTTTCACTTACTTTATTTTTTCATAGTGTTATTCTATTTGATCTGTTTCTTCTTTCACAACTGTGATTAACATGAAAATATGTTTTACATAATTGCACATATATAACCTATATCAAATTGCCTACCATTTTAGAAAGAGGAGGGAGAAAGAAAAATTTGGAACTCAAAATTTTGTAAAAATGAATGCCAAAAATTGTCTTGACATATAATTGGAAGAAAAATGAAATACTGTTTTAAATTTTTTAAAGTAAAAAGTATTATAATTTGACTTTGAAATAAATGTGTTTATTCTATCCTTAATTTCTTTGCCCTTTGGATTAAAAAAAGTACACTGGATTATAATTGATGCAGCTCAATCCTTTCACATATTCTTAAATTTTGTGATGTGAATAAGAAAGACTTTGGGAGGGAAAGGGAACCAGCTTCAGAGGGGAAGATGGATCTAGTGTCTGAGGGCCTGAGCTTCAAATCCTGGTTCTGCCACTGTAAGAAGTGGTAACCTTAGGTAAACCTCTGAATTTAACTGAGCCATAGTCTCCTAATCAGTAAAAGGAGGGGATAGCACTAGACAGCCTGTAAGATCCCTTCCAGATCTAAATCCACTATCATGTCCCCTGGGGATGAAGTTACCCAGTTAATTTACTTAGCCACTCTAACCTGGCCACTGCTTGAGGCCCCACTGTTCCCTCCTGAAGAACACAAAGTCTCCAGTTTGTTTATTTTTAAATAATCTTTTGGCTTCCCAGTAATGTTGAAAACAAAGCCCTTGCATAACCATTTAATGTTGCAGAAATGTATTACTATTCTCTGGCTAATTATTAAGTATTTTGAGGTTAGTAGGATATTACCAGGACAAAGGTACAGGAAGGGTGCAGGAGAAGTAGCATAGAATTTAGAGGGCAATCCAGAAAAAAAAAAAGAAACAAACAAACAAAATGTTGGCAATCAGATAATAGTGAGATATAGGGTAAATTCAAGTGAAATTTGTGTGGATTGAGCTGGGGAATTTAAGTTTTATTAATATTTGTAAGATTGAATTCTGCTTAATATTTTGTTAGGGAAGAGAATTATTAAAAAAGAACGAAAGTTTCTTTTCTTGCCTGATAAAAAAGGCAACTGAACAATCTATCTTGTGCACAGCTACCAAAATAACTTTTCTAATACATGAGTGAATGTTACTCACCTACTCAAAAACCTTCATTGGCTCCCTATTTCCTGTAGAATAAAATATCAAATTCCTAAACCCAAA